GCGGTGCCACGTTATTCGGCATAATAGCCGTGTCCCAGACTAGCATATCTGCAATTCCAGAGTTAACGTCTTTCAAGCAGCAGCTGGTGGACGAAGAATTGCTCAAGTCTCCACATCAAAGGACACGCAGCTCGGCAGCTAGGTTTATCTGTTTGTTATGTGGCCACAGTTAACATTTAGACTAGCAGTCGTTAGGCCGAATGCAAAATAATGCAATCCCGTACGTGTCTCTTAAGTAAATTAACCATCTAAATAGATGATTAATTTCAGTATTTTCTCCAAAGAAATTTACAGTGCTTGAACATAAATTGCTCAGATATTAGCTGATAATTTCCATTGTTATCCTCATGATTTAGGATTTATTTGTAGTTACTTATTATGTAGAAGATTTCTACAATGTAATTGCCTTTCAGTACCAAGGTGGCGCCAACCGAGGTGCTAGGCTTCCCCACCGTTTCGTGCAACAATTTGCCCTATGCAACACGTCGTCGGTGGAGCGTGGCAACTGATTACACCTCACTAGATTTACAGCTAAGCTGTTCTCTTTTTTTTTTTAACACAATCCGCATTCCACCAGGGAACCCACTTCCGCGGACCCCGAAAGGAAGAGCGAGGAATAGAGCGGAGGGCAGCGTTGAAGACAGTGTCATGAAAAAGGAGGAGAGCGCGAGGGAGAGGCAGAAGGGAGAGGTCAGAGAGAGCAGCACTGAGGGTAAATAGGTTCCAGTCCGCTTTAGCAAACTGCCACCTAGGAAAAGAGATGGAAGGGCAAAACGAGAAAAAGGAAACAAGGATGGGGAAATGATCACTGCCATGGAGGTCATCAAGAACCTGCCACGTGAAATCTAAGTAAAGAGAAGAAGAGCAGAGAGAAAGATCAAGACAGGAAAGGGTGCGAGTCCGAGAGTCCAAATGAGTGGGCTCACCAGAATTCAGTAGAGACAGGGAAGAAGAGAGGAGAAACGGCTCAAGAAGGCGACCCCGGGTATTCGTCAGAACGTCACCCCAAAGAGAATGACGACAATTGAAGTCCCCCAGCAGGAGTACAGTCTCCGGCAAGGAGTCCAAGAGGTGTTTCAAATCAGGAAGAGAAAGCGGGACACTCGGGGGGAGATAAATGGAACAAACTGTGAACCATTTCCCCACAAAGATACGAGCAGCAGAACAATGGAGAGGCGAAGGAAAAAGTAAAGGAACAAAAGGAACATCAGCGCGAATCAAGAGAGCAGAAGAATTAGGAGCCCCAGCAACGGCTGGGGGGGGGGGGGAAGAGAGAAAGGAATAGCCACGAAAACGACCAGGACGAGCACCAAGCATCGGCTCCTGGAGACAGACACAAAGGGGCGAAAACCGCGAAATCAGAAGTTGGAGTTCGAGGAAATTGGCATAATAACCTCGAACGTTCCATTGAAGAATAGACATGGAAGAGAAGGGAAAGGACAACAACAGAGAACAAGGAAGAAACAAAGGCGAAAGAGCAACACAGCACGTTAAAGAATATCAGGGTCAGGGTCAGCAAAGTCAGGGTTAGGGGGCATGGGTAAACTGATCAAAGACGGAGGGAAGGAAGCGGGAGAACATACCAGAGGTGGGCGGGCGTGGTCCGGAGGAGGAGGAGGAGGAAGGAGACAATGGAGAGGAGCAGTCAAGGACAGCAGCAGGAAGAGGGGGAGTAGAAAGAGGGGAGCGCACCTCAGCAAGAGCAGCAACCGAAAGGGAAGCAGGGGCCAAAGAAACCTCCATAGCAGGAACAGGGGGCGCAATCACTGAAAAGGGAGGGGAAGGAGCAACAGAGCCAGAAGTAGGGGCTGGGGAAGAAAGCGAAGCCCTCTTACCCGCCGGGGAGGAGGAAGGGCAGGAGCCAGGCTTACGCTTCTGACTTAAAGAGACCGGTCTCCCAGCAACTACGTACCAGGCAACGGATTCCAGTGTCTCAGCAGAAGCTGAACGAGAGCACACACGACTGCAGTTAGGAGAGCGATGGACATCCGCCTGCACCGACAGGCGGCGGGGAGAGCCGATAGATGGAGGAAGAGGATGGGAAGGAGGATCGGAGGGAGACGAGGAAGAAGACACAGGAGACATGACAGACCGGGTAGAAAGAAGGGGAACCCCAGACAGAGGACCAGGAGGAGGATCCTTCGGGAGAGAACCCAAAGGAACAGAGGAGGGGGCAGTGGGCGCATCAGGGTCCAAGGCCCGGAAACGGTTGAGAGTCTGAGGAAGGCGGGAAGGACGAGGAGAGGAAGAGCGCAACACGCGAGCATAAGAGACGTTAGCATAAAGCGGGAGCCGGCGAACCTGGCGCCTCGCCTCAGGAAAAGATAAACGCTCCCGGTGCTTCAAGTTGAGGACGGCTGCCTCAAGCTTGTAATGTATACAGGCATGGGAGAAGGTAGGATGGGTCTCACCGCAGTTCAGGCAGCGAGCTTGGGGAGAAGTGCACTCCGACTTAGAGTGACCTTCACCCCCACACAAAGGACAGAGAGACAGTCCCAGAGCAGCGGAGGGCACCATGCCCAAACCTCCAGCACTTGTTACAAAGTCGAGGAGAAGGAATATACTCCTGGACAGAGCACCTAGCGCCTTCAAGAATGACAGAGGATGGAAGGGTCCTACCATCAAAGGTGATCTTCACAACACGAAGGGGTTGACGGCGACGACCACGAGGGGGACGAGTAAACGAGTCAACCTGGAGGATAGAATAGCCTTGGGCATCAAGGATATGCCGAATATCATCGTGGCAATCCTGCAGATTCTGAACACCGGTTGCAACATGGGGTGGGAGGAGAATAGTGCCAACACTGGCATTCATCTGAACGTTCTTGGAGACCTGAACAGGGATCTCGCCAAGGCAAGATAAGGCAGCCAAGCGGGAAGCTGCATCCTGAGAAGGAGCAGCAACGACACGTGTACCGAGACGAGTGGGGCTGAAGGTAACAGACGCATCCACGCAATCTACAAGATGCCGATGGAGGGAGAAATCGTCAGGAGGCGCAGAATCAAGAGGGAGGAGATCAAAGTATTTGGCCCATGAAGCGGGACCAAACAAGGCCTGATATGCGTCAGTATGGGAAGGAATCGAGCGAGTGCGGCCGGGGCGCGAACGGCGTTGAGAACCCCCAAAGAGGGGTCAAAAGGCGCAGTAGTCACAACGAGAGACTTAGCCGCACCAGGGGACGAAGTGGTCACCATTGGGGGCTGGAGGTTCAACCCAACCACAGAAGAGGGAGGGGAGCTGGGGAAAGAAGTCAGGATGGTCAAAGGAGGAGCAAGGTCGGGGCCCAACGCAGTGGAGGCTACAGAGCCCGGTCTTCCAAGACAGGCCGACTCGGGGGCTTGGTCGCCCACCCCACGAGCCCGAGAGGGTACATCAGAAACATTTAACGACATAGGTACGAGGAGTGATAAATTCATCCACGAATGTGCCCCCATACCCACCATGGAGCTACAATTAGAGGCAAGACACCCAACAGGAAGCTATCGCCGATCATGTCGGGGCCCCCTAGGGGTGCGTCGTGAGTATACGCCCCACAAACGCCACCTTAAGAACCGTCAGTCCATCGAGATCGGGTTCAGCGACGAAAGGGGAATCGACAATAAAAGGTTCCCCTCGCTCGAGACGTTGGGTACAATAGTTCTACGGGTGCAAGAGTATGCCTCCTCAAGCACCCGGGCGTCAAAATAGAAGAAGTCCAAAGAAATAATCCAAAACAAGCAAGAGGTCGGCAGGAAACGACAAGCAGATAGGAGAAAAGGGGGGAGAAAAACGAAACATAATGAAAAGGAAAAGCGATCCGGCACAATTAGAGAAGACAGCAGCAGGAGTGCAAGGCCATAAAAGGGCAGAGGACTGTCCCACGGAGCATCACACTCCGGTAGCCGTCCACGAAACCCCCTCACGACGCCAACAGGCCGAATGGGGAGGGGGATTTGAATACGAAACACTGTTTATCTTCCTTCGCAAGAAGAGTTGTACAGCGATCCTCCATACAAAAATTTGGGGAGGTACAGTGTGATGTACCAAATAGACATCAGAGACCGAAAATGAATATTCCAAATGGTTTGCATGACCACTTTATTAACTTTATTTTTTTTTTTTTATTTGTAAAAGATCCCAAGTACAAGACAGAAAAAGGCACAATAACAATATATGAAGACATTCAGGGGAAACATACAGGGAAAACATAAGGGAATACACCATGAACACATGAAAAAAACAGACCAAACATACATAAACCCCAAAAGTGAAGGAATCATGGTACAAAACAGGAAACCCCGAAACGGATACTAGATACATAAAAGGAGAACACAAAAAAATAATACAAGAAATAAATATCAAATAACATAAAATACAGCCACACCCATAACAATGAAGAGCAAAAATACAAAAAAACTAACAACCACAACCAGCCCAACCACCCAAACACAGGCACATATTAGTACATAAAACATCAGGCCTCGCAAACCCCAAGCACAGAGGCAAAAACACAATAAGAAACATGAAAAAAACACAGTAACAAAACAGCACCTAACAGGCACACGCAGGAGCCAAGAATAAACACCTACGCGCACACAAACGCAGGCACAAGCACAGCCAGTCACACACACCCAGGCAGAAAGACAGAAGCACAGAAACACCACCAACCCCAAGGACTACACATATTTGTCAGGGTACTCCTGCACCGGAAAGCGCAGGCAACAAGCCTCCCAAACCGCCATTTGAACATCAGATACCGGATGCCCAGGAGATGCACACGGCCGAATCATGAAATCCGGCACCCCACTAAAAAATTTCTTCACTCGCGGAACCCAAATGGTAACAGGGTCACACAGGATAGGGCGCACCCGGACATCATAACTAACCAACAAAGAATTACTCATCTAACACTTCCTCGGCGGGCGAGAAGAGTGGGAGGGGCACCTCCCCAGGGGGCCGAGCATCGGGAAGCGCACCGGAAAACGCACGAGACGGCTTACAGGGCTGCGCACAGGGGGGATCAGCAGACGCACCGGGGCCCCCTCTCCCAGGAACACGGAGCCGGGGGCCCCCGGTGCCCATCCTTCTTCAATATCACGACTAGGTCTCGGGCACCAGGGACAGCCTCCCACGGAGGGGAGCCAACAGCAGAAGGTGAAGGTCTTGACACAGGAGGCAACTCGGAGCCCGCCACTGCATCCTCATCCATGTCTGCACACTCATCCGCCCACGCACGAGGGGGCGACACAACCCGGTCCGTCCGGGAACGCTTCGGAACAGGTCTGAGGTCATCAGAACTATCGCCCCCCACAGGAGGCACCCGAGAAGAGCCAGCGGCAAGCCGCCCCACATCCGGGAGCGCACTACTGCGCAGAAAGGCATCCTCAACAACATGGGGGATAAGGCCTCTATCCACTGGGGAGACCGGAGTCGGAGAGACAACAGGCGCAACTGATGACAAGGAAGGGGCCCGCATAGGGGAGGGATCCCTCGATGATAGCAGAATGGGCAGAGGAGCAGGAGCGAGCACAGGTGAAGAATCCTTCGGAGGCGAAGGGGTAGGCTGCGAGGGCAGCGCCGCACACACCACCACCTCCTCACGTACTGAGCGAGGATCCATAGGCGAAGCACTACACGAGCGCAAGGGAGGAAAATCAGCCGCATGAAATACAGAAGGCTCCATCGTGTGAGGCATGCTGCACCCGGCCGCAACGTGGCCCTCTTTACCACACCTGAAACAGGTGCGCGACTGGCCCTGATAGAATATTCTCATGGATAGCCCGCAGATGGACACCCGGGAAGGGATGTCGACGGCGAGTCACATGCCAAGCGTTCGCACTCCATGACGGAGTCCCTGCAGCCTCCCAGAACGTAAAAAGTTGAATCAATGCGTCACCACCGCACCAAACCTGGCAAACTCGGAACGCAGTTCCTGCTCTGGAAAATCCACCGGCACACCGTGCACACTCACAAAAGTCAGCGGACCCCATGGATCCGTCACCTGCACAGTCACAGCAGAATCTGGTAGCGTAAACGTCTCATCATTGTAGCGGCGCACAAAATCCAGGTAGCCGGCTGACGTGGCAAATTTCACCGCCATACGCATAGACGTAAGTTTCTCCAGGCCTAGAAGATCGGCGACCTTCACATTCAAAACGTCCAGTAACGCGACTGCTACGAGAGGCCAGTCCACAGGAGCTGAGAAAGCAAGCCCCACAGTATCTACACGGCGAAGCGGCCTACTCCCAGCCGCCGCCATGCCGCCAGCTGACACGCCGGTCAGCGGGCGGACCACGCCACCAACACCAAACCACCTCCTCGCAGCGCCAAACAACCACTGGGAACGCGAGTGGCGACGACTGCCCCCTCCAGTGGCGAGGCCTGGTTAAGATTCGCTACTTGGAACAAAAAGTTCCAAGTAGCACGGGCTATGGTGAGCCCATAGTGGACTTCTCTTTTAGTGTTGTACAGAATGAGTTTAAGTGATGGAGTATTACCTGATGCTTGGACAAAGTGTCATTTTTCCCATCCCCAAACCACACTCCGATAATTATAGACCCATATCTCTAACATCCTGTGTCCGTAAAGTGCTTGAACGCATTGTCCTTAACCGACTCATGTATCGTATACAGGGGCACCTGTCACCCCAACTGTTTGGATTTATGCCTGGGCTCAGTACACAACACTGTTTTGTTGAATACTTGGCTCATATTGAATTTTCCCCTCAAGCAGTCTTCATCGACCTAGCTGCAGCTTTTTGATACAGCAAACAGGGAAATCATACATGAACAGCTTGCCGAGCTCGGAATACAAGGAAAATTATTGAAATGGATAAAGGACTATTTGTCTAATCGAACAGCATATGTTTTGTTTAATGGTGTTAAAAGCACAAAGAGCAAACACTCTGAACTGGGAACTCCACAAGGAGGGGTCCTCAGCCCCTTGTTGTTCAACGTTTTGATGCATAAACTTATTAAAGATCTTCCAACTAATAATGAAGACACGGTCATTTGTTATGCTGATGATATATGTTTACAGGCTGCCTCCGAGCCTAGAATGCAAGTTCTGTTCGATGCTTTTGCTACTAGAGCTGAGGAATGTGACCTCCTTATCTCTGTACAGAAAACTCATGTCCTCATTCCATATGGTATTCCACCAGCCAATTATCATATAGATGGGCGAGCACTTGAGAACCGCAAGTCTTACAGATACCTTAGTGTCCCCATTAACGACCCTGGGTACCTTTCTTCTCTCATGAAGAGAGACTGGGAGAGATTAAAGCCCTTGCGGGTCCTTGTTGATGTCAATCATGGAATTAACGTGAGACTTGCTAGAATGTTTTATGTATCATTTATAGGTTCTGTGATTGACTACAATGTTCTACATCTCACACTGTATACTGACAAAGAGCTGAAATCTCTTGAAACCTTGCAAAATGAAGCTATGCGTCTCATCCTTGGGGCTCCAAAGTCCACGAGAATAGTTAATATGAGAGCAGAGTTAAAATTACTTACCATAAGTGAGAATTTTGTTCATTAGCACAGTATCCGGCGATAAGGCATTGAGTAGATCTCGGCAACACATGAAGTTTCAAACTAAACTTCCTAATATGCTACACTCACCTGAGGTCTATAGAAGAAGAGCTAAATCTGATTATGCATTTTGGTTCTACAAGGTAGCCAATTCCATCAAAATCTTAAATATGTACCCAACTCAATTAATGATTAATCAACCAATTACTCCATGGGATAACTTTGATCTATCAGTTGATTTTGTAAATACACCCAAGAAAGATAGTGTACACTCTACATTATTTAAACAGTTAACACTGAAAAACATCACTGAGAGTACTCAGGGTATGGGTAACCATGTGTATCAGTGATATACCGACGGTTCTGTAGAAGGAAGACGATCTACTGGGTGCGCATGTAATATATTTGAACAATCTTTTCTTGTACATACAGCAATGAAGCGTGTCAATGACTGGGCAAGTACAACTCAAACCGAACTTGCAGGCGTATACCTTGCCACTGAATTTTTAAAAGAAAAATCAGTGGACTTATATACTGTGACTCGCAGAGTGAGTCACAGTCAGCCTGGCACTGAACGCACATAGTAGTAATACCCAGAAAATAGTCTGATATTTTAATGAATGTTTTAGCTGCAAAAGAAAACAGATTTAAAATTAAATTTCTATGGATACCATTACATGTTGGCATCTCAAGGCACGGTACTGTTGATATGCTTGCAAAGACAGCCTGCATACAACTAGTAGAAATTGATATGGGTGTTTCATTAGCAGTGACAAAGAGAATTCTTAAACAAATATTTAATGTAAATCTCACCGACCTAACAAATTCACAAAGACCTGAAATTTGTAGCATTAAATATTATGACATATGAGGAGACATTCACATATGGGACTAATAGAGCAAGAACTCGGCAATGGATGTTATAGTTGCCCCAATACGCCTGGGATATAGACGTATCTGGCAGCTTTCTAACACTCCAAACGTCGAGTACACAATGTGTCAACTTTGTGAAAGAGAAAACTTGCACTCACTTGAACATTGAACTTTTATGTATGTGATGTAACTATATAACCCGAGCTTGTAAAAGCATCTTAATCACCTTCAGTGGTTAAGTTCCTAATCGCACACTAGTTTCTCTATCAGCTATCTTATCCTGTCAGAGTAGAAGAGACTCTATAGTAGTAGTAGAAGAGACTCAGAGTAGAAGTAGTATGTGTATGTGTGTGTGTGTATATATATGTACATATGTATATGTATGTATATGTACGTGTATAACGTATATGTGGAAGCTGATCAGAATTACATTTCGCTTTTGTAAATGCACATTAATGACACATTGTGAAAGACACCGAACACTTTATGTAGCATACATAAATCTGTGTATGTATTTACGTATGTAGCTTTGCCTAGCATTTTAATGGCACTACAATCACCTTTTGTAGTTGTATTGTTCAATAAATCCCTGACCCATATGTTTGACAAATCTCTCACCCTGTCCATGGAAGACAGAAAAAAAATGTATATATGCTGGTTAGCATTGTAATTGTGTGGCCACGTCTGAGGTAGAAAATAATAATTAAAAAGAGAGTTTGGGGATACCCATATAATACAATTGCCAATTGTATATTATAAGAACGTTGCTTTTGCATAATGTAACCTATTACTACATTAAATATTTTCAGGAACAATCATTATAGTAATATAATACCAAAACGTTCATAAATGGAAAAAAAAAAAAAACATTGGCAGCTACAACCCCCAAAATTCAATCAAATTATTTAGCTGGAAGTGTAGGAAAACAATACCCAGTTGGCAGTTCCTGACTGTACGTTCCAGTCACCACAACACCGAGCCTCGGCAGTTGCTTACGTGTGGTGTGTAATAGCAACTTTAATGTTAAATAATGACAAGAATACAAGACAATTATTTGCTTTTTAAAAAATATTTTTGTATTATTTTAATAACAAAATTGATTAATGCAGATTAAATATTTAATTGAAAGTATGAAGTCGTGAATGAGATTATCTAATATCCAAATCACATTCAAATCCACTACAGGCTGAACAAATCCACAAGGGCCGTGACGAGGATTCGAACCTGCGTCCGGGAGCATCCCAGACGCTGCCTTAACCATGTCGCAGCTCAGTCGATTAAAAAAAAAAAAAAGTTGAAATCGTGACGAATCCTCATCACGGCCCTTGTGGATTTGTTCATTTGATGCATCACATTATTGTGATTTCTGTGTGTCCACTACAGGCTAATTACAGTCTGCACAACTTGAAACTTTAGTTCCGAGTAGCATTTTAAACAATAAATCACATTATAGTGTTTATACATTGAAAATTGTAACCTGCATTTTGGTGAACATAACCAAGATATTTTAGTACTATACAGTGCTGAGGACTAAAGTATTCTTGATGGTTGGTCTCTAAGCTATTTTTTATTTTTACATGCATACAAGTACAATAAAACCAGAACAAAAACAAGCAGACCACAAAAGTACAAAAGCACAAAAAAAAAAAAAAAAATTACAAAATACCGGCGGGAAGGGCCTACAACAAAAACACAACAAGAAGCCAAACACAATGTAAGACAGTACAGAAATGACAACAGTACAATACATAGTACCCAAAAACTCGCCCAACAAAAATTAACCCACAGCCACAAGCCGTAGCACGCAGGAACCGGGAAAACAAACCCGCCCCACCCACACACACACGTAACCCTGACCCCACATCCATAAACACAATTGTAAACAACACCACAATAAACAGCAAAAAAAAAAAACACGGGAGAATAAATTACTTAGAGGAAGGCAAATACTTCTCAGGGAAATCACCCCAGGGATACTTTCTCATATAGGCCTCCCATATCAAATGCTCCATATCAGTAGGGGAACGATCCTCCTGCACCTGCGGGGCCAGCATACATTCTGGAATCATTAAATCAGGCGGAAACGGCCGCTCCCAAAGCTGGGCGACGCAAGTCGTATAACGCAACAGGAGAGGGCGAAATACTCCTTCCGTGGAAGCAGAAGATACCGAAGAAGCAGACGGAGGCTGCCAAGATGGCCTCGCCGCCGGACGCCCAGGAGAAGAAGGCGAAGGCAGCCGAGACGAAGGCGATGGCTGCCGAGATGGTAACACCAACACCACAGGAGGTACAGAAGAGACGGCCCAAGACGGGAGAGGCGGCAAGACCGCCGCCGAGGAAACAGTTTACGAGAAAGGGGGCACAGAACCCCCAGAGCGAGCAGCCTATTTCAACACCACCCTCAGGTCACCACACTCACCATGAACCCCATCAGCAACCACCCCCCCAATACGGAGAACCCTCTGCAGGAGAAAGAACAGAAGTTAAACGTGAGCCACAGACATCTGCAGCCGGAGGCAAATGGACCTCCGCCACCACCGCCTCAGGAGAGAGCGATGCATCCGGAACCTCCCTGTCGACATCGAAAGATGCACAGTCACTGAATTCCCCCCCCCCACATCTGCCCAGGCAGAAGAGGAACGACAAGAACGCTTAGACACCGGCTGCACACCATCAAAGCCAGATGCAGAACCAGAAACACGGGCAAAACGGGCCGGGCGCACAGACACTCGACGCAGAGGCAGGGGAAACCGGGCCACACATGGCAGGAGGCCCCACAGCCACCCCAGCATCTACCACAGCTGTGACACAAGGCGAGGGCGCAGGGCCAGGCGCAGCAGCAGGAGACAAAGAAGGAGAAGAAGACGTCGACGCCGCGCAGAGACCACCCGGAAGACCCATGGGAGCAGCTGGGACAGCGACAGGAAGACCATCCGACGACACTGCAACTCCTGGAGAAAGGGCCGCAACATCCGGAGGATCACCGGGCGACGCAGGGGAAGCTGCATCAGCTAACTGGACGTCCACATCCTCACCCACGGAATTCTCCCCCACAGGGAGCGGCGAGAAATCATCCTCCCGGAACAGGTTCACAGGAGCGACCACAGCCCCAGAGCACCCGGCAGCCTGATGCCCCAACAGGCCTCACCAAAAACATGTTGAGGGTTGTCAGGCATAGTACACCCGGACATAGTACCCCAGAAGCCAGACTGAAGAAGGAATGTCTGACCTCAGGTACATCCCTAAAGAACGAATGTTCATACGCATACACTTATACCTCCCTGAGGACAGCGTGTTCACCTGCACACTGACGACAGCGCCAACCGCTGGAAGTAACGTCGGAGTAGATCCTCGGGAAACTCCAAGGGCGCCCCATTCACACTCACATACGTCAGGGCACCACTACGGTCCATAATGGACACAGAGTCGGCACCATCCGGCAGCGACAAGGAACGCCCCTCGTATCATCGGATATACTCACGGTCAAGTTGATCCAGTAGCCCTTACACTAGCCTGCTTCACGATTGACACTCACAAGGTGCTTCTGCCGAGGTCTTCTTTGCGTACTCGCTGGTACACCCTAGCAACAAAGCCAGCAACTCTCGACCAGCCCCACTGGCTAGTACCTTCCAGAACCGATTCTACAGCACTCGACCAGCCCACTTTGCTAGTCCATCCAGGAGTAAAGTCCACAGCACTCGACCAGCCCACAAGGCTAGTCTATTCAGGAGTAACGCCTAGAGTGCTCGACCAGCCCACTTGGATAGTCCAACCAAGAGTAAAATCCACAGCGCCCGACCAGCCCACTTGGCTAGTCCATCCAGGAATAAAGTCCACAGCGCTCGACACTAGGCTAGTCTGTCTAGGTCGACGTCTATCTTCCACTGTCCCGACTTCACTGCCTTCCCTAGCCTGCCTCTGGTCTCTCGTCACCTTTCAGCCTGGCAGACTAAAAGATGGGAAGCTATAATTACTGAGAGTCTTGTATAGTTCGGCACCCGGATCGTAGATGGCGCCGAAGTCTGTCACAGCTCCCCCCCTAAAATAGATTGTTTTCTCACGGTTAAAACAATACCAAAAACAAACATTTACTAATTACATGCGGGATAATGCGTCCGCTACCACATTATTGATCCCTTTAATATGTACAATCTGCATTCATTCCGTATCAACCCCTTCTTAAACGGATTCATAGGATATGCATGTTGCTTAATGGATCGTGCCCCTTCTTCCAGGACAACGTTATGGTTTAGGATCGTTGTCAGCCCTGGACTGTCTTTAAATATTGATTTGTATTTAAAAATCAAGCTTATCAATGGCTGTTGTTGCTCGGCGGTTACATGACCTAGTTTGGTAGGTAACCTCTGCAGTGTGAGAGAGTTGGTATCCACCTGTTTGTGTATATCTCCCAGTATGTCGTCTTTGTGGTCCTCTGCAGTTGCAATCATACAGACTGGCTTTGCGTTCCTGGGACTGTACAGTTTTATCATGTTAACATGCACATGCATCTTTTTCTTCTTGTGATCAGGCGTGTCCAGCACATAATTGGTTGCATTTACCTTCTTAATTACAGGATAGGGGCCATTAAATTTTGCATCTAAACTCCCCCCCCCCCACCTAATAATTGGAGAATAAACTAGCACCTGATCTCCCACCGTGAAATCTCTGGGTTTGGTTGTGACATAATTGCCTTTCATGGTGGTCTGGGTACGTACCAAATTATCCTTAGCAAATGGCCAAGCGGCAAACAGTCATCCCTTGTGTGGCGAGATCCAATCAACTATGTCTATATTACTCTCCACTTCGTCCCACTGGTCCTTGACCACCTCCAAGGGTCCATGTACTGTGTGGCCATATATAAGTTCAAAATGGGATAGGCCAAGAGATTCCTTTGGGACTGACCTTATAGCAATGAGTAGATATGGCAGTTCCTCGCCCAACGTCCTTTCTTTCCGATACAATACTTCCTGATCATCTGTTTCAATGTCTGATGAAACCTCTCGAGTGCTCCCCGAGACTCGGGGTGATAAGCGTTGGATGTGATGTGATGAATTCCCATGTTCGACATCTGTTGGTTAAAACATTTAGAAGTAAAATTTGGTCCCTGATCAGTTTCAACCGTCTTAGGAAGACCCTGTCTTGAAAAGAACCAGATCAGGTGTTTTACTAGCACCTTAGATGTTACCATTCGGAGGGGAACAGCTTCAGGGTATCTACTAACTCTGCCCATAATGGTAAATAGATATTGTACCACCTAAAGTAGAAGGAGGAAGAGGACCAACAATATCTAAAATTAGGTGTTCCAGAGGTTCTCCTAGGGAGGGAATCCGGTTTATGGGGGCTTTAGAAATTGGTTGGTTTACTGTACCAACCACCTGACAAACATGACACGTTTTGCAGTGGTGTCTTACATCGGCCTTCATCTTGGGCCAGTAAAAATTCCTAGTTAGCCGGTGGAAGGTCTTTAAAATCCCACCATGTCCAGAGTATCCGTTATCATGTGTCACTTCAATCAGTCTTGATCTAAATGGGGTGGGCACCACTATTTGTCTTACCTACGTCAGCTGAGGAGTGGGGAGTTCTCTGTAGGCACCTTTTGAACAACTCTTTGCCGCCTTTGAAATGTCTAGCTCCCGACTTCCGACCCGAGTTAATCAGATCGCCAGGGCTCTCGCTTGTGGGTCGTTCTCCTGTTCTCTTATTAAAGACCCCCTGCTCCAATCCGGATACTCTGGAAAAATTTGAAAAGTTTTACTAGTCTTTGATAGCCTCAGGGGTACTCATGGGGTCAAATAACTTTCCCAGCCATAAATGTTCCATGGCCTAGGATCTGGTTTGAACTACCGTCACTGGCGTTCCCACGTCAGCTACTGGTTCTGCCACAACCACGGGATTAGTCTGCTCCAGCCCCAATACTAAATCATTGGCCAGTATGACTTCGATTCCCTGTACTGGAATATGCTCTACTACAGCTAAAGTACAAGGGCCAGTAAAATACCGAGAGGTAAGGTGCACGCCCACCAAGGGGGGCGACATACAACGAGTCTGGGAAGCCTCCTAGAATAACACTTGGCTGGTCTTCAACCCGTACCTCCTTCGGTAAAGCACTCCTCTTTATTAGGAACTGAGCCGCACCGCCGTCCCTTAGAGTAATCACCGAGTTGCTACCTTGATTTCCGGCTACGCTTCCAGTTGACGTGTAATATGTTTGCCCCTTACATTTTGGACCCTTGTTTTCCGGCCTTGGTAGATGGGCCTCCTCTGATGGTTGTAGTAGATTCACCAACAATTTTTTTTTGTTGGAGGGGTGACCAGCCGACTCTTTACAAACAGCCGCCACGTGACCGGTTCGTCCACATGTCCAACATACTATATCTTTTCAATTACTCCTATTTGGACTTACCCGCTTAGGACTGCCTGACCCCTTGCTTTCCCCTCCTTTATACCCATGTCTTCTTCCATACCTGTATGTAGCATACTGATCTGGTTTCGCTGGATGCCGTGCAGGGGCTTTGCGAGTCAATGCAGACTCGTCGGCCAATGTGGCGGCCACCTCTATTGTTTCCACCTGCTGTTCCTAGAGATTGCCTACCCGAAGATTTAAAGACTATCTTTAAATTCCTCTATCAGGTTAAGCTGTTCTTGTTGTTCTCTGCTGGCTACTTTTCTGGACTCACAACTCTCTACGAATAATCTTTTAAACTTGTGAATTGTTTATACGTGTGTTCTGCCCCTTCAGGTTTCGGAATTTTTGCCGGTATGCTTCTGGTAGTCGTGCAAAACTTCTGGAACTAACTGGTAGTCGTGCAAAACTTCTGGAACTAACTGGTAGTCGTGCAAAACCACCTTTACCGCATCGTAATCACTTGACTCACTCACTGATAATGTTGAGTATGCTGTTTGGGCTTTCCCGGTTAACACCGACTGAATCATTATAGCCCAATTCTCTTTTGTCCATTCCAAAGATGCAGAGACTTTTTCAAAAGAGGCAAAAAATTTCGATACCTCTTTTTCATTAAATTTCTGAACCATTTTGATGTTCCGCACCGGATCGAAAATACTCTTTTTTTTTTTCCTTTCTACCACCACCTAATCTCAGTACTTCTAATTCGTGTTGTCTTTCCTTCCCCTTTTCTTGTCTTTCCTTCTCTCTTTCTCTTCTTTCTTCTCTTTCTCGCTCTTCCCTGTCTTTCCTTTCTTGTAATTCCAAACGTTTCATTTTCAGTTTTTCGTGCAAAAGCATTTCCTTTTGTTTCAGTTCTCATTCTATTTCAAATTTTTTCCACTATCTCGGGATTTACCTTCAATGCACGCATTTTCACTGAGAAAAGGCTGATATTCAGTTCACTAGTATCACTGTCATCATCACTATCTTTGTCTTTTTCAGAGGAAGCCATTCAATGGCTTTTTACTTTGTCCTTCACTGTCCTTTTTATCCGCAGGTTTCAAATGCTTATGTACTTTTGAAAGGATGTCCACCCGCGAATCCCGATCACTCTTCTTAATTTTCAGGTACGCACTTATCAACACTAATTCGGGCTTCCCAAGGTATTTTAGTTTGGAGAGGCAGTCCTCCTGGTTCAGGAACTCCTGAACATCATCCAGGGTGTCTATGGTCTGCCTCTCAGCCATTGTCCCCTTCGGTAGTACGACACAAACACAATTCACGTTCCCTTGTACTTTTTCCTACCATAAATCACTTATTACCCAGTTCGTAGTCACTGAATTTAAAATTTATATGTCAAAACGGGACATCTATCCACTGGGATAGCACTTATTTACCTGCTAATTACCTTAAACAAATCACTGCACCCACCAAGACCGATGGACGCTCTGAACAAGAGGTAAGGATCCCGCTGGGGATGCCATTAATGTTTCGAACCCTTTAACCGGGTTCTTTATAAACTGTGATTCTACTTAAGTTCAGAGGACCCTTATCTTGGTGGAAATATAGTGTAATGTTTAAAAGAAATATTAAAAGAAAGACACTTAAAATATCCCGTTATTATTTCCCATCACCATAAAAATCCATATATAATATATACAACGCTGCTATGAGAGGTCAACTGGATTGGCATTGGATTGGCACTGGATTGGCTAGCGTAAGGGCTTGCCCTTACGCTAGCCTAA